CATCAATATTACACGTGTAGTTTTTCACATAAGTGGGAGCAAGTGGTACTGACGCTCTTGCCTGTGTCTGGAAGATAAGTGCTGTACAGTATTGCTTATTTCATGTGATTTATTCTTTTTTTGTTTCAGTTGTTTACAAAAGTGGTTATAGCATGCCCACAGAGTTTCACCAATGGTATCCCCAAGAGAAGCCCTGTCTGTAATTTTTGTGACTTAAATGGCCTTTTACAAACTACAGTAGATACAGATGGGTGCCCTGCACTCAGCTCTTCTTGCTGTACTCCAGCATTGTGCTTACTTGCTGTAGGAGTGAACCACTGGGCCAAGCAAGCTTCAGCATTTAATTGCCTGATCTACGCCTACATGCGTACAGCAAAGAACGCTTTGCCATTAAGCAAAAGAGACAAGACAGGTGAAGTGATAAAAGTTGGCTAAACACAGGTCATTCTCGGGCTTAACATTAGTCTTACTCTTGGCTGGGTCTCTAAAAATGTTTCACAGTGGTTTTTGGTAAAAAGGTCCTTGTCTTCCTCTAAGAAAAGCACTTCATATATGCAATGGGAAATGTCAGGAAGAAGCTTAACAATGTTGAATGAAGTCATGCATCTGACAGGCTGTCTGGGCAACTCTTCAGAGTCTACAATTTCCCACATGCCTTTACTTTTGTCTTCTATTTGTCCAAAGATCATACTGGGTGTACAATTAACGAAAATCTTCTCAAGGCTTCATTATTCAATCGTAGCAGCTTACGTAGGCTTCACAGACCTGGAAAGGGAAAATTGTAGACTACCACAAGGCTGAGAAAACCATGAAATTCCTGGGAGTAAGGCAAGAATTTGGTGTATAAAGTGCTGGGCTGATTCCAAGGCTTGCTTCTTAGGCAACTACATGCCTTGATTAAGGAAGTGTTTCCCTGTGGTCTCTTTCAGAGAAGGTCAATGTCTACCTTCCTATCTAACATGTTGCTCAATAATAATTTTCTTGTCAAGTGACATTTGTGAAGATCCAATAAGAATATTACATTCAAACAGGAAGGAAAGTGATACATAGATGTTAAGTAAAGTATGGTGTTGTTGGAGTCCCCTAAATTTAGAACCATGTGTTAGGTATCCAATATGTGCTATATTTTTTATAGCAACCCAGTTATGACAGGTGCACATCCTTATGCCTATGAGATCAAAATTATTTAATGGGATTTCAGATATTCATATGGAAAGCAAGAAAATAAATGGGGTAAGCATGATGACAGAACCTGCTGGTGGTGTGTCCTGCATTCTCCCTGATGAGATGTGGACAGGAGATATTTAGGAATAGAGAATTTGTGCTTTATGTTTAAATAATAATGACCCTAGTTAGAAACACGGCCTAGATATTGTTATATGATATAAAATTAATTGTTCTCTCACAGGGAAGAGTGAGAAAAGAAGTAAAATAAGGAAACAGAAAATAACTCCTTAGTGAGTGCATAAACTTAGCAGGGGTCAATGAATCTATTTGTTGCATTAATGGCTATTCAGTATGTTGAATATTAGTAGAGCAATTGATTAGTTTGAAAAGTTTGGGGGACTTTTTTGCATTCTATTCCCAGTGTATTAATTTTACCTTCAGTGCAAAGTCAATTTTTTAAACTTGAATTTTCAAAAGAAACTATTCTAATAAGTTCTATTCCCAACTTGGATGTCCTTTTGTTTTTTCATAATCACCTTTAGATTTTTAAAAGTGCTAATTAGAAATAATTTCTAAATTACATCTCTCAGAAGTTCTGAAGTTTCTTGCTTTTTCCGCCTTTGTAAAATTTTAGGAAAAGAGTGTTTTTCCCTCTGGCTTAATTCTATTTTGGGCAAAATCTTTGGAGACAATTTGGTGCAATTTTTACAAAGTTTCTTTTAAAATTTGTTTCACTGAAATTTATAGGACAGTTATAGATTATAAATGCTTGATTGTAAGGGTTCTATTTTTTCTAACAGTAACTCATACATAAAATGTTCAATTTAAGCTACACAAGCTTTCAGAGACAATTGTTGATATCTGATAATGAAAATCATTATTTCAGTATCATACCGCAGAGGAATCTTATACATATCTGAGAAGTAGATAGGTTAGTCCTATGAAAGATTATCTATTTTAGGATCTGAAAAATATGGTTTTCTCAGAATATGGTTAGCTTTGAAGTACAAAATAATACTTTATGGTGTCATAGGATTTTGTATCTATGTGAAGCCCATATCTTCAGAGTGTTTAAAAAGCAGAGGAAATAAATAAAACATCATCAATAGGATACAGACTTTTTTTTCTAATTTCCAATTTTTCTGCAATTATTTTTGAGAGTGTTATGGTTTGGAAGTAATGAAAGACATTCAACTAAAGATGTGATTAGTTCTTTTAAAAAGCTGGATTATAATTCCAAAAGGAGGTTTCCACATTGCCTAAAGAAGATAATTAGTGTCATAGCCACTAAACATACATGCTAAAATTCCATGATGAGAATGGTGAATGTAGCATATAGAGTCTGTACTATGTGTTGGGAATAAATCACTTGGACACAAAATCCCGTGTGTGAGAGATTCTAGAAGCTTCCTGAAGGTTCTTTGGAGATAATGAGGAGGGCCAGGGACTGGGAGAGTTTCCTTAGTCCAAGGAGTGTTGATCTGGGATTTCTTTAGTCTGAGGATTAATCTGGGATGATCACTGAGTTTAAGGAATATGAGAGGTTATTTGTTATCCTTAATGACTCAGGTGGACAATGTATTCTAATATATTACCTGCATTGATCCTGCACTCAAACAGTAACGTTTATGTGGGGAAAAATGCTCTATTGACTAACAAAAAGGACAATTGTGCTCAAAAAGCTTGTCTAAGAGTTTACCTGAGATTCAGATCTGTTGCTTCTGCATCCAAGTTCAATGTTATTCCTGCCACAACCAGAGGAAGAACAACCGTTCTTAGGCATTTTACAGCATGTTTGTTGCAGTTTTAATTAGAATACTAAGCTACATAGAATGGCTTCTTTTCCTTGCTTGGAGGGGTGGGGAGTAATGGAGTTTATACTGTGCAAAAGATTTGTCTTGAATACATGGAGAATCCTAACTCAAGAAGAAACCCAAGCATTTACTTTATAAACGCACAGGTCTGAGTGTTTCTCAGAAGAGAAATATAATTAAAATAAGTAGTCATAAAGACATGGATATTCGGTTCCTGGCAGGATACCCTGTCCACACACAGTCCTGGCTGAGCCCTTTAGGAGCTGACAGCACAGTGCTGGCTGGTGTGAGCACCGTGGCCCTGCCCAGGGAGATGGCAGTGTGGCAGCAGGGTGAGAGTTGAAAGACCCAGCACGATCTGCACATCCATAACCCATCTGCTCATCTGAGGCAGCTCCTGCACTCGGTGCCTGTCTGCATACCAAGACTGACCCTCAAGTGCGAATAGCAGCTATATATATATATATAATCACTATACATAATTCTATATATATACATGTATAGCTTGTAAGGCAGGTACAGAGAGCTCTTCTATCCCTAAATGGCCACAGCAGCCAGGAAATTCATCACATCTCCCATGTGGGTGCAGCAGCTCAAGCACTTGGGCCATCCTCCGCCGCTTTCCCAGGGCATCAACAGGGGCTGGATGGAAGTGAAACAGACAGAATGCCAAGACAACCTCAGGAAATTCTACAAGGGCAAGAAGTACAAGCCCCTGGAACTGGGGCCTGAGAAGACTCGTGCCATGCACTGCCACCTCAACAAGCACAGGACCAAGACCCAGCAGTGGAAGGAGCGAATGTACCCGCCACGCGAGTTTGCAATCAAGGCCTGAGCCTGCCTGGCAGTGGCAACGCAATAAACACACACACACACACACGCGCGCGCACACACACACGCACACACACGCACATGGCTTACTTAATAAGGTTGTTGAATAGTGAGATTGAATGTGAGCTATACACAGTATCAAACTATTCTTTTGATTTTTTTTTTTGAGTTCAAAATTCTGACATACATTTTGTAAGCCTCAAAATACCCAGTGAAGTCAGGTTTTTCTGTGAACACAGTCTAGTGGATAATGAAACAGTGCATGTTGTCTTACCTGTTCATTATTTTCCTGCCAGACGCTCCTCACTTTCAGATTCCTGGGATCCCATTTACCTGCCCTGTTGATATTGGTTTATGTTACTCCTTTTGAGGAAATCCGTCTAAGTGTACAAGCATATGGAGATAAAACCCAATTTTCTACAAACCTTGCGCACTATTCCAATAGTACTGTATAAAAACCCAAAGAACTAAAAACAAACCACTAATAAACCTTTAACGAGCCCTGGCATGCATGAGATATGCTACCTCCGGGATAACCGGTTGGTGTTTCTGCCCGTCAGGGTCACAGGTTGGCATGGCTCCTGGCCCAGTACTAAGCATCTGGAGAGCAGATCAGAACTCTGTTTTCCTTCCAGTCCTCCAGGCATCTGCTCCTTTCTTTGCCCCTGGCTTACAAAGGTTGCGTTGTTGGACTCTGAATTTGATGGAAAGCTCTGCTCTTTGAACTACTTGTCAGAAGCAAGGGCAAAACCAGTCATGGTCCCTGGGTGGTATGCCCATTTGCTTCTCTGCTTCATTGGTTTGCTGTGGCCAAAGGATCTTACCCTGTGCTCCTGTGGTCCATTTTATTAAAACATGGATTTATTCTACAATCTGACTCTTAATACAGGTTACAGCTCCTATGGTGTACTTTGATGTGAACTTACCTGTTTTGCTTATAAGGAATCCTAATATAGTTCCAGAATTTTACTCTAATGTATAAAATAATATCTAATTTTATGAAAAGCTGCAATTACAAGGTGTTCAATAAGGGATTATGCTCAATTTATATTGCAAACTTAGCTTATTTTTTCCTAAAAATAAATACTTTCCTATAGCTGAGATAATGAGTACTTTCTGTGTTTAGATTGCTGATAAACTATTAAATAAGAAACTTTGAACAGCATATTTTATAGTCTCATTTTTTAGGTTCATATTCGTAAAGACTGTGAAGTTTGAAACATTAAGGTGAAAGGAAAAAGACTACACCATTAGCTGCACACTACAGAAGCACGTGAGAATACCAGTATCCTCTGAACACATCAGATGTCAAAGTTTAAAACATCTTTTCCTTTGCTTCGGATGGATATATGTGACATTGTTAAAGATTGTTCTAGGAAAAAAAAATCCTGATGAACCTGAAAGCACCGTGAAGGTAGACTCTGAAGAAGAAGCCAGATCTAATTAAAAACTTCCTTTGAAATGCTGGTTTCTACCTTGGTGATGAAACACTTGCTACTTAATTTACAGGTTGTGTAATCGCATCCCCAATGTCACAAGCCTTACACATTTAAGCACTTCTCTGAAAATTCATGCACACTTAAACTGCATAGGACTTCATTTGCTTAGATTTCTTTTTCCCGTGTCTTTTCTCTTTGCGCCCTCCCCCAGTGTGGCCGTAGGGTAGAGCAGCATGTCAGTCTCCTACCACGCGATTCACAGCCTGTTACTGCACACAAAACGTTTTTGACTTTCAGAGCAGAACTGCAGTTTGAATTTTATTCATGGACATTTTTTGAGTGCTTCTACATACATGGTACCTATCCTTTGATCATTTTAAGGATCATGCACATGAAATAGATTTCAAGCTTGGTGGCTGAAAAATGTTGTATGTTCAATTATATAATATTTAAATTATTGGAAAAATTTTTCTCGCTTTCTATGAGTTGCACTGAACACAACTAGCTTTAGATTTCTGACTTGCTTCCTTAATGCATCACCAATGAAATTAATGCGTAGAGCTTAGAGAAATAAAGTTACATGCTGAATTCTAACAAGTCTTGTAATTTTGAAACAGAAAAACATTCTAATTGACAGCAACCACCTGCACTGTCAGCTAGGAAGACTTAAGACACACCTCGGCTTTAATGCGACATTGCTGAGATGACATCATTGATATTATCTCATTTATTTAAATTGCTGCATAGTTGAAGCCTTCTGTTTCTTTCCTTCTGTTTCTTTCATTCTTTTATATTCTCCAGCTACTGTGATTTTGTGGGGGTGATGTTAATGGTAACAGCCAATGCGCTGTGAGTAGAAGTGAAGAATCTATAATAGATAATCCTGTTTATTTTAATAGCCTGTGGAACTTGTTTTAGTTTGACTGTAGAAGTTTGACTGTAGAGTTGATTGGAGACATACCACATTTTGTGTGCAATGGGACTACATTTGTCACTTATGTGGGAGACTTGGGTTCAGTTTTTGGGCGCCTTGCTTTGGCTTAGTCCATTCTTGGCTGTTATAGACATCTTTTTTTTTTTTAAGATTTATTTATTTATATTGGAAAGACAAATGGAAATGATCTGACTTGCTCTTCAGCTACCAAGAAGAAGATTCTCAAAATACCCACGTCGGACGATGAGCACGGACAATAAGAAAAGATCTGAGTCTAAGGAGAACACTGGATACTGATCACATTTTTATTATTATTTTTATTAAAGATCCACTAATTTATTAAAAAAAAAGATGGACTTCTATGTAATATGAGAAGCAGAATGGACACAGAAGATGAGAATCTAACTGTATTGGCAGTTACCCGAGTATACAGTAGCACTCAAACCATCAACCAAAGACATTGATTCCTAGGAGTAGGGGGGATTTAGAAAGATCTTGAGTGAGAGAGATTGAGGTTTGAGCCAAACTTTGAAATACAGTATTGTTCATACTTGCACATTAAAACCCTGGCTCGGAGTGTTAAATGACCCATATAATTTCTCCATCATGATTTGTAGATCTGTATTTACTGCCAACAAGTCTTTTCAAATTCAGCTCTGGCATAAGCTTCTATGATTTTCTATTGACCAGAGCTTTGGACAAGCAGTACACACATTCATGCATTATAAAACCATCACCAGCTAAAATTTTTAAAGATTTATTTATTTTTATTGAAAAGTCAGATATATAGAGAAGAGGAGAGACAGAGAGGAAAATCTTCTGTCTGATGATTCACTCCCCAAGTGAGCACAATGGCCAGAACTGAGTCATACCAAAGCAACAAGCCCAGAGTCTCCTCTGGGTCTCCCACATAGGTGCAGGGTCCCAAGGCTTTGGGCTGTCCTCGACTCCTTTCCCAGGTCACAAGCAGGGAGTTAGATGGGAAGTGGAGCCACCGGGACAGAAACTGGTGCCTATGTGGGATCCAGGCATGTTCAAGGCGAGGACTTTAGCTGTTAGACTACTGCGCCAACCCCAATAATATATTTTAAATCAATTTTGTTAGTTCTGGCTCAGAAAAATTCTCACTCAAATTGATACATTTCATAATAACTTATTTAAACAGCTGGTGTTAAAGCTAAAATGAGGCAGACACACTTTCCTAATAGATCAAATTCAGTTGAAATATGTCTAATACCTTGTCATTTTATTATCTCCAAAAATCATGTTTTAAGAAAGCATGTAAAAATCGCTGTTGAGCTTTTTGTGACCAGATGAGCAGTTTCTTTTTTCTTTTTCAACATTTTCTTCTACTTATATTCAACATGTCACAACCACAGAAAATACGCTGAGAATGAAATGAAACTTTATTTTTAAATTTGCTCCCTGATTGAATATAAGAGTTCAAAGCGTATTTTCCTTAAATTCTGCAAGAGCAAGTACAAAGTACATGAATACTGTACTGAGAGTTTCAGCTCGCTTTTCATTTTAATTTTTCAAGTTATGTTCAAACTCCAGTCAAGGTAGCAAAAAATGTAGAACTGAATCTAAGAAAGGAAAATGGATACCAGAAATCCACTTGATAAAATCTGCTAGGCTTGGCTGGGGCAAAGAACTCAGGGCTGACGGGTTTGGGGGAGATGACGGGCCTGTTTCTGTCCATGGTCCTGTACCGCATTGTGTGGGGAGTTTTAGCCCTAAGGACGGGTTATGTTCACAGTTTGATATCTGAACCAAGAAGGGAGCAGTCACATCACTGGAGTGAGACACTGTCAGCGCGGAATGTGGTTTGACTACTAATATCTCTCAAAAAAGGGAAAATCCTGAGTTTTGTCTGTCATTCTGAAATATTAACTTTCATTGAAGTTCTAAGAAGTCTTAAGGTCATTTTGTGTAGGATGATATGAAATTGGTGGTAGAAAACAGATGAAAAGTCAGTCATGGGCCTGTGATTATTTCTGTACTTCTCTGTTGATTATTATTAGACAGTAGGTAGAGTGAGAAAAGAAAGATCATTTTGTATAAAGAAATGAAAAATATATTCCAAAAGATGTAGAATAGCGGTGCTGTGCCATCATAATTCAGTTGGAAGGGTGTTGTGTCATAAAGAATAAAATAGCTAGACTTTTGACTAATCATTCATAATATATAGATTATTCCTTGTAAAATTTTACAAAACTTGTAAAAATACTCTATCACGCTTATTCTGGGAACTAGATTGAGCTGTAAAAGTTTGTCATGTACACAGAATGTGGCCTTGGAGGAAATCCATTTCCATGGCACCGTTAATTCTAATTGTGCACCCTGTCTCAATGGGGAAGGGAAATAACATTTCTGATATATTATTCTAAAATTACTGACAATACAATAGTTGTGATTAGCAATGAGTCATCATGTTAAAGAGAAACTGGAATATCATTATTACTTAGAAATGATACAGTTGAGGCCAGTGCAGTGGTGTAGCGAGGTAATCCGTCACCTGCCGCGTTGACATCCCAAAGGACGGCCTGGGAAAGCAGTGGAGATGATGGAAATCAGGAGTAAAACTCATTATTTTGAAATATTTTGAAATATTTACATTGCTTACTATTTTGAAATGGAAAGATAATTATTAACCTGTTGATCAAAATAAATTGCATCATATACTCTTAACTATAAGAGTGTCGAGGAAACACACAAATATCTTTTATGACACAACGTGGAATTGTTATATTTCTCGTTAAAAAGTTACTCCGTCCTCAAATTTCTAATTAAGTGCTTCTGCTTTCTTAGTCACTAGTGAAATAATTAATGAGCAAAAACAAAACACACACACACACACACACACACCACCCTTCTCTTGGACTTTTCTCTCCCCAGGAAAAGATTGACATCGCCCCAGGAGTATCAGCCTCACAGTTTGAGAAACACTGTCCCAGTGAGACAGAAAATCAGCTAATTGTAAGAACAATTTGCAACCTCCAGGTGATTGGGAAAACAGAAGCACACTGCAAGCTATATCATTATGTAAAGTGACAAAACACAATTCTTGCATAGAAGGGCTTAGCCTTCTGAAGCTGAAGTCTTTAGAAATACAAGGATGGCATGTTTCCAAAAAACAAGCATGGCTTAGATCCCACTCAGCTTGCATTCTCTCTCTGCCACTGTATCTGGTCTAGCCTGTGTGATCAGACTGAATTTTAGAAATAATGTTCCTTTTTATAATCTCTGGCAGGAGTTATAATAATGAAACGATGCATCAACACATTGTGACAGTAAATCTTCTGAGAATTTGTATTCTGTGCTGGCAGGAGCACTTTGTATCTTCCTAGTAATTTTGGTTATAAAAATTGTCATAAATGTAAAGTGATCACAAGAATTTAAAAAACGTGTCTCGGGTATTTGATAATAAATCTTTCAATTATAACAGTCAGCATCCTATTTTAGAATTTCACCGTCAGTTCAAAACTACACATTTATGACTGAGGTCTCCTGGCCCAGCCTGCCCCACAGAGGATTTAACCATTCCCACCTTGAAGGTTTGACCTGAAGATTTCGACATGGCCAGTGTTTGTAAGGAATGAAGCCATAACTTCCAAGGAGACTGCTGGGGACAGAAGTCAGTGAGGTTTTACTATGCTTTCACTGAGATGAAACTCACTGCTAAACTTTGTCATGCTCTAACATAAATAGCTTTTGTGTCTAGGATGTGATACGGTAATCTTTTATTCCTAGTTAATTCATTGTAAAGACTTTTTGTATTTGAAAGGCAGAGTAACAGAGAGAGAGAGAGAGATACACTTACAGACAAAGGGAGAGAGATCTTCCGTTTGCTGGTCTGCTGGTTCACTGGACAAGTGGTCACCATGGTTGGAACTGGGTCAGGCAAACCCACAAGCACAGAATACCATATGGGTATCCCAAATGAGTGGCTGGGCTCAAACACCTGGGCCCATTTTCTGTTTCATTGTCAGGTGCATTTAGTGGGAGCAGAAAGGGAAGCTAGCAGCCAAGACTTGAACTGGCACTCTGACAGGGGTTGTGGAGTGTACCTGGGGTGATTTCAGCTGCTGACCCACACTGCCAGCCTGATATTTAGTTTCTCACTTTCTCAAATCACCATTGATGATCATTACGCAGTAACGGAAGCCAGTTCCACTATTTGAAATGTTTAGTGACTTAGATAGCCAAATGCATCGATCATTTATGAAATGCAAGGACAGCACAGTGCTTTCAAAGGAGTATAGGA